GAACTATTCGAAACATGGCAGCTCGCATCCGGACTATGCATCTCTATGGCGTATGGATTTCAAGATTGTTTGGATTTTCCAGGAACTATGAGTCTACTCTATGATGAATGTATGTCAAGTTGGACTAAGGAATTACAACACAATAGGAGTGAGACACACTGAAATTTCTGGGACTTTATTTTTCTATTTTTCTGTACTACTGTTGTATCTATGATGAATGTATGTCAAGTTGGACTAAGGAATTACAACACAATAGAAGTGAGACACACTGAAATTTCTGGGACTTTACTTTTCTATTTTTCTGTACTACTGTTGTTTCTTGCAAGAACACCTTGGCTCTGTATAGTAATATGACTGTATTACTGAACTCGGCATTAAATATTATTTCTGTACATTTTTTGTTTATCTTTAGCCAGCGTTTTTTTGTGCTTTGGACAAATCTGATCGGCAGGAAACCCATCTGACGTTGCTATTTGGAACTCGCTCCCATTTGCACTTCCTCCAAATCCTTCCAGCATCAGTGGAAAACTTCTTTTAAATAGTAGAATATTGTAGTAGAAAACTGTATTAGATGACAATTCATTGGTGTACCGATGTTTGTTGTAGTATGCATTTGTTGTTGTTGTCTTGTATTTTATGTTTTGTTTTGTAATACAAATTCAATAAAATTTATTTACATCTTGTCTTCACCATGTGTTAATTTTGATGGTGGCTATTATTGATAAGTGATATAACAAACGCGAACCGCGTACCAGATGGGCCCGCCGAATACAGCCGACGCCGAAGACCACCGGAAGGAGAAGAAGAGGAGCTAAAACCGAAAGCCGAGCCAACAATAAGCCAAACCGGAAAAAAGAACAGCAAGTCCCTTCACTGGCTGCCGGTAGGGCAGTCCCCACCCCTGACTATGTGTGGTCATAGATAGGGATAAAGAGTAACTGTAAGCCGCTCAGAGACCCCTTGGGGGGTTCGAGCGGGATACAAGCCGAAAGCATAAATAAATAAATAAACAAACAAATAAATAAATAAATAAACTTCCTTGAGTATCTATTTTAGTTTTTCAAAGCTGTTTTCCTGGTCCACTTCGAGCCTATGGAAAGTTTTGTGGATATTATTTTTAGGCTGCTGGATGCTGTTTTTTGCTATTTTGATGTCCCAGCTTGTTTGTAATGCTCATCATTGTTATGGAGTTTTAATGGTTTCACTGCATTGCGTTTTACTTTTGTGAGTCATCTTGGTCAGGTCTCTGAAGAGAGAGCATATAAATTAAGAAGCCAAGACAGAAATCTTCTAGTAAACAAAGACATGGGACAGTTCCAGTCTGCATACCAATTCCCACTCATTTCAAGGGAAAGAGATGATCCCAAGTGTCATGGCTGTGCCTGGTTGATGTTGTCTGCTGATTTGGTTTCACAGTTTTTATTGCTGTCACAATGAAGCTGAATTAATTTCGTTCCTTTCTTCTATTTCCTCCACTTGCCTACCCCGCTCTCACACCATTTTTATAGCAGGCACTATATATATACACAACTGGGCAAAATAATGCTGAAAAGAGCAGGGACTTTAATAGGCAAAAATTGACACGAGGAAAGAGCAACTGGTACAACAAGAGAGACGCAGGGATCTGTTTCTTGCAAAGGAGAAATTAACTTGCACTGTGGGTGTCCAAGCCAGACAATAGGGTTGCTAACCTCCAGGTGGGGCCTGGAGCTCTTCTGGAATCACAACTGGTCTCCAGCTTACGGAGATCATATCACCTGGAGGTGATGGCAGCTTTGGAAGGTGGACTCTATAGCTTTCGGCTTTATTATACGCTTCATGCTCACAGACCAATGGGTCATAAGCAAAGAAGTTTGATAGTCCACATGGTACAGAATAATACAATCCAAGAATACAGAAAATAACCAAGCAGCCAGAAATACAAAATACAAGGAATAAAATATGCAATTACAGATAGAAGTCATTAAAAACCATTGATAAATTTTTTGCCCTAGCAGGAGGTACAGTTAGGTTGGTATCAGCCAGAAGTTTTGCTTCTTGTTTGGAGATGCATCCCCACTTCTGAATATATGCTGTGATCCATTTATCTCTAGTGAGTTCATGCTTCTCACAATCAACAAGGGCTCTATGGCATTACACCCTGGTGCAGTCCTCTTCCTAGACCCTGCTTTCCCCAAGCTTCACACCCTAAATCTCCAGGCGTTTTTCCAGCCTGGAGTTGGCAACCCTAACAGATAACTTTTAAAAATCAGCCTCCTTCCCAGGACCTGTGCATCACAGACCGCACAGAATAGTGGAATAAGAACGATATCTGCCACTCCTTCCATATGGGACCAGCTCCAGATAACAATCTCCTTCCACCATTTTTGATGACCTTCAATGGACCCATCAGAGGGAGGACAGGAAGCAACCAGACTCCTTCATTGTACCTTGATATAACTCTGGCTATGAGCACTCGTTCTCCACTGGCTTATAATTACAACCAATGAGGCCATCAGGAGGAGGACAGGAGACAACCAGATAACGTCCATCACACTTGAACCCATCTCAAGGACAACGACCCCGTCGTTCCAGCTTCTAATTACCATGAACGGGGATATCAGCAAGTGGACAGGAAATGGCCAGGCGATGTCTATCATAACTGGGATTCAGCTCCAGTTAAGAACAGCACCCCCAAAGCTTCCAAATGCCACCAATGGGGCCATCAGAAAGGAAGACCAGAAACACCCCAATATCCTGTATTGAATCTGAACCCAGCTCCTGTTAAGACCCCCTCCCTCCAGCTTCCAGTTACCAGCAATGCAGCTCATTAGCAGGAGAGTATGAAACAACCATCAACACGATTTCTTGTGCCTTAATCTCTGGGGATTAGGATCCCCGAAGTACATAATGGGTGAGATACAGTGACTCCCTCCTTTCTCCAGTGGATGAACTAGAAGGCTCAGATAGTGAGAGGGACTCATTGGATCCATCCCTTCAATGGTAATTTGTATTCTGTTTTCTGTGAGATGCTTTTTGGTTGAGAAGCAGGATAAAATATTGTAAATACATCATTTCTGGAACATTAACTTTTGGGAACAAAAAGAATAGATTCCTATCCAGTACTACAGATGCAAGCGTAATTCCATCATGCCAAGCTCTGCAGATACACTGAACAGAAGGAAGAATGCTGAGGTTCAAACATAGAAAAAGCAAGCCTTCAAACACAACCTTAAACTGCATTTCCAAGTTCTGTTGAGTCCTGAGCTGTGTCTGAGTCTTCAATTTGCAAGTGTGTGACTAATCATAACATCAGGTTATACGTTTCATTCCATCTCTCCAAAATATGAAAACAGCCACCTATATACAAGGGGTTTCCAACCTTTTTGCGGCTGCAGGCACCTATGGAATCTTAACACAGGCTGCGGTCACATGGAACATTAGCCACGCTAGAGAGACGGAAGATAGGTGAATTTTCCGGGCGCGATCTCACCGCCACATCTGGGAAGCGTAGAGCTCCTGTGGCTCACCCGAGGCTTCCCGCCAAAGATGCGAGGTAACCCCGGGGCAAGGGAGGGCATCTGATCCCGTTTCCGGTGGCATCCAGCGCCCGCCCATGTCCCCTTGCAAAAAGGTTTTTTCCCCCCAAGTCTCCATGGATGCGCACAAGCACCCAACGGAGCATGCGTATACTTTGGTGTACAAAAAAAAAACAAACCCGTTTGCCGCACCGTGCGGCTTCTTTGCCACGCCGCAGGATTGTCCTGTGATCGGCACCTCCCCCCTACCCATGGGACCTCCACGGAACCTCCACAGATGTCTGATCGCGCAGCCGCGCGTTATTTTGCCCCGGGGCAAACAGCCACGCTTCCCCCCGCGATATCCGGCCCGTGTGACCGGGGCCAATGTGTGGTGAGTGCAGCCACAAAATGGCTGCCACACAGTGGCTGAAGCAGGAAGCGGAGCCAGCCACAAAATGGCTGCCAGAGCTTACCTTCAGGCACACAGGGACGATCCTTGTGCTGCAGTGGATTTCTAAAAATCTACAGAGCCAATCAAATCTCCAATAGCCAATCAGAAGCCCTGCTGGGTGAAGACCCCATCTGGCCCTGCCCACTTTCTAAAAATACCTGGTGGGCGCCAGGAAAGGTGTCAGCAGGTTTCCTGGCACCCATGGGTACGATGTTGAGGACCCCTGATCTATATCTTTGAAACCTTTTCATACCTAAACATTTAAAAGGGATAATATTTATAAGATCGATAAGAACCCCCCTTGATAGTCTACCCAGAGGAAAGACGATCTCACTCACCTTATTGTCTGATGCTGCAATTTATCCGGATCCGTGGCATTGACGGTGAACACAACACTGCCTATCGGGATGTTCTCTTGTTTGGTGACAGTCATTGGGTTTGGGTGGAAAATGGGGCCTTCGTTGACGTCCAGAACGGTGATCTGAACAGTGGCCGTGGAGCTGGTGCCGTACGCGATATCTGGAACCAAGGGGTCTTCGTTTTCTACTTTGATCAGGAGCGTGTGGAAAGCCGAAATCTCGCAATCCAAAGGCTGCAAGACAGCAGAATACAGGATTGTCCCCATTTATCAGATTGCAAATTAAAGTTCATTCAAACTAAGGGTGGTACTGAGTACTTCCTAAAAATAGGGATGGGCACTTGGGACATTGTTTGTCATGAAGAAGGAGGAGGAGGAGGAGGAGGAGGAGGAGGAAATTGGATTTATACCCCACCCTTCACTTGGAGTCTCAGAACAGCTTACAATCACAGGGTGGCTACAACAGAGGCAATTGCTATAACAACAGTTAAAACAACATTAAAACAATCATTAAACAGTATAAAACAATCATTAAGTAAAGTGTGGTGTTCTCTGGATGTTAGATTTTTCTTAATCCAAGATGGACGGCTTCAAGAGGGAATTAGATAAGCATATGTACCACCACCGAGTTTTCATCTTCAACGGTGGATTAGATCTGGAGGTGAGCCGGCCCTGGGCAGACGCCTAGTTAACCAAAGAATGCATGCTGCCAGGTTAGGTTGATGAATGGAACTCATCTTGGATTGAGAAAAAATTTAACATCAAGAGCACCGCACTTTATTTAATGATTGTTTTTACTGTTTAATTATTGTTTTTATGTTGTTTTAATGGTTGTTATGGCAATTGCCTTTGTTGTAGCCACTCTGAGCCTGCTGGGGAGGGCGGGGTATAAATCTAATAAATATGGTGCAGAGGTCCATCGGTGGCTATTAGCCACAAGGTATAGATAGGGACTCCGGGGAAAGTGATGATCTCTATTTTTGGTGCTGGGGGGTGGGTCAATAGTGGGAGGGCTCCTAATTCCTGGCCCCACAGCTGGACCTCCTGATGGCACCTGGTATTTCTGGCAACTGTATGACAGAGTGTTGGACTGGTTGGGACATTGGCCTGATCCAACATTGGCTTCTCTTACGTTCTTATGTTAGGAGGAGGAGGAGGAGGAGGAATATCAGAGCAGATTAAAATCTCCTTCCCCACAACAGACACCCTATGAGGTAAGTGGGGCCGAGAGAGCCCTTTTGAGAACTGCTCGTGAGAGAACAGCTCTGAAAGAACCTGTAACTGACCCAAGGTCACACCAGCAGCTGCATGCAGAGGAGTGGGGAATCAAACCCGGTTCTCCCAGATTAGAGTCCGCACTCCTAACCACTCCACCAAAGTGGCCCATAGCCAATCGCTTGAGTTTTCTCTTATGCCATTTTCCCCTTTACAAACGAAGCTGCAGTCAAAGTGCTCACAGTTGGCTACAGATGGGTAGGGAGGCTGCCAAAAAACACACAGTCTACGGTTCCTACATAACTCAGAACAAATCGTGACCTCCCCTCGGAAGGAAGCAGACACTGTTGTCGGGCATTTCACAGTCAGTTTGGCAAGCACTGCACAAATCTTTAGAAGCCGGTGGAGAAGACTCCAAGCAAATATAAACACGCAAGGGAGCAGGAGGAGATCTTGGACATGACCGTTCATCATCATCATCATCATCATCATCGATTGGATTTATACCCTGCCCTTCATTACCCAAAGAAGTCTCAGAGCGGCTTACAAACTCCTTTCCCTTCCCCTCCCCACCACAGACACCCTGTGAGGTAGGTGGGGCTGAGAGAGCTCTGACAGAAACTGTTATTTTTCAAGAACAGCTCTGACAGAACTATGACTTGCCCAAGGTCATCCAGCCAGGTGCAAGTGGAGGAGTGGGGAATCAAACCCGGTTCTCCCAAATTAGAGTCCGCGTACTTAACCACTACACCAAACTGGCTCTCAATATAAGGGACAATATAAGATATCACATTCCCGGAGGCTCGAGAGAGACTGAAAAATGCTCCTCACCTTGACAACAGACAACATGCCTTCATTGTTCTTGGGATTTGTATGGATTTCGAAACTCTGGCCCGGGTTCCCGTTGATGATGGTGTAAACGGCTCTCCAGGCGCCCGTCGCGGGGTCATCCCGGTCTTCGACTGTCAAATTCACTATCACGCCCGTCGTGCCTTCCTTCACCGTGGCTTGGAACTCAAAATGAACAGAGAAGGCAAAGGAGCGTTACTCGCGCCGAACAAATGACCGCCACCACCGCAACAGATTTGTTTAAGTCGCCATCAATTATTTACCGCAACAAAGGAAAGAAAAACAAACAAACGTAATCCGGTAACGAACTGAACATTTTACAGGCCATAAATAATGCATTTGCAAGAGCATGACGTCTAAGGAAGTGGATTACCATTTTGCCGCCCCTGTTCTTGAAAGATCGTAGATAAATGGGAGGAAAAAATGATTGAAAGAGGCTTTGAAAATTCTCCAGTAAGGAATAATTTTAAAAAAGAAATCCTTTGTTAGCCTCCATTAATAAAAAACGGTTCCACGTATAACAACAAAAGGTGTCGTGAACTACAGCTACACAGGGAGATGCTTTGGGAATGTATAACACTTCAGAACAGGATACTTTAAGGTGATTTGTGCTAATTCGAGCTCTCTCTCTCTCCCCCCCCCCCCCCCCCCCGCTTGAAGCATAATATGTCGTTCTCCTCTCTATCTTCTGTGGACAGTACGCCATGGAATGAAATAACTGAAGATCATCCCCCTGGCTTAATCTCCAAGCTACTGAGTTTGCTTGTAAGTGTTCTTTCCATTGCAAATATTCCCCAGAACAGCATGAGGAGGAGGAGGAGGAGACTGGATTTATACCCTGCCCTTCACTATCCAAGGGAGTCTCAAAGTGGCTTACAAACTCCTTTCCCTTCCCCTCCCCACAAGAGACACCCTGTGAGGTAGGTGGGGCTGAGACAGCTCTGACAGAAACTGCTCTTTTTCAAGGACAGCTCTTATCAGAACTATGGCTTGCCCAAGGTCAACCAGCAGGTGCAAGTGGAGGAGTGGGGAATCAAACCCTGTTCTCCCAGGTTAGAGTCCACGCACTTAATCACTACACCAAACTGGCTCTCAAAATGACACATTTTGTGGTTGGTAACACTGTAATTGTTTATTGGCTAGCTCGGAAGGACTTACCGTGTGGCTCAAATCAGCCTCACAGCCGCAAGCACGGGGCCGGGGTGGCCCTGTGCCATGCCCGTTTATATGTTATACGGACAGGCAGCGGCCGACACAACAAGACTGCAAATTGGCACCGAGCCGAGGGCGACGTTCTTTCTGGAAACGGCTCAATTGCACTTCCTCTGCTACCTGCTGCCATTGGCTTAAGCACCATTGGTTTGCTGTGTCGCCACTTTGCCTATTTATGCGCCATGGTATACTCCACCAGCACACCAGGACTCCAGGAGGGTCATCTTTCTGTACACTAAAAGTTTTCCCCACCATAAGAAAGAAAGTTAGCTCTGCCACATCCAGAGCATCGCTCACAGTGCACACTGGAACACCAAAGCTGGAGAATGCCCATCATCACCGGGAAAGTGGTAACTCTACTGGTTGATTGATGTGGTAGGACAGAATGGGGCAACAAAATATTTCGAAAGGGCCTTGGATCACGGAGGTCCTCACCAGTGTTCCCTCTAAGCTGAGTTAGTGTGAGCCAGCTCACAGCTTCCTAGCCTCCAGCTCACACATTTTTGTCTTAGCTCAGGAAGAATGGCTCCAGAGCAAACTAACTGATGCAGCAGCCAAATCACTCGCTCACAACCTCAATGTCCGTAGCTAACAACATAGAATTTTTGCTCACAGGACGCCACAGCTCAGAGGGAGCATTGGTCCTCATCACATCTACTTTTTTATTTAATTCATTTATGACCCATCTTTCTCCCCAATGGGGACCCAGAGCAGCTCGCATCCATCTCCTGTCTCTCCTCCATTTTATCATCACAACAACCCTGTGAGGTAGCTTGGGCTGAGAGAGTGTGATTGGCTCAAGGTCACCCAGCGAGCTTCCATAGCACAAGTGCAAATTCGAACCTGGGTCTCCCAGATACTAGTCTGACACTCTTAAGCACTACACCACACTGGCTCTCTCACCGCCACGTTTCTCAAACAGATTATATCACTCCTTCTATGTATGAGGAGCTTAGGCTGCCTTCACACAGACTTAATAGTGCACTTTCAATCCTCTTCCAATGCACTTGGCAACTGAATTTTACTGTGTGACATGGCAAAGTCTAGCTGATTCTGCATTGGCTTTTCCCTCCATTGTTTTACAAAACCCACATGGGAACAGAAATTCCCCTCTGCATTGCATCCTGCTTTAACTGCCTTTGATCATCGGATTTTATGGTAGCCTCCGCGCCGCTTTTGCTTTCTTTTATCATCGGATTTTATGGTACCTTCTGTATAGATTTATGGCCGTTTTATGGCTATTCAGGGGTGACTTTGCAGTCAGTACAGCGTTGCCCCGAGGTATTTGAATGTGGTTTGGAGCTGCACTTTTCCCTCCCAGTTGAGAAAATGTGGAGTGAATGCTAGATGCAGAATTGCCCTCTGCTTGCAAATGATTGCTAAAGTGCATTGAAAGTAGACTGGAAGTCCATCATTTGCTTCCCCACAAACTTAATAACGCACTTTCAATCCACTTCCAAAGCACTTTGCAACTGGATTTTACTGCACGAAATGGCAAAGTCCATTTGCAAATGATTGCTAAAGTGCACTGAAAGTAGACTGGATGTCCATCATTCAGTGCGCCTGGTCAATCAAGTTCCTACTGCAAATGTTACAAGTTTGACTAAAGTGGAGGCCTGTCATTTAACCCCAAATGTTTGTGCCTTGCCTTCTTATATCTATCTGGCACACGTGCAAGCCACACACTCTGATGTCAAGAGGGAAAATGGCAGATCCTGGATAGACAGCAACAAGTCATGCTGGTGCTGAAACCTCCAGCGACCGTTAGACGTGATTAGATTGTGCCTTAATTGATTCTGTTCATTTCTTAATAGCAACTCATCCCCAAAGCCCCACAATCAATTCAGAACAAAAGAGAGGAGCCCAGATGTGTATTTAAGCTATTGCTGACAGCCTCCTTTGCAAAATCAGCTTTGAGGAACAGAGCATCTTGGGCCAGCTCCCCAACCAGTTTAAACTGGGTCAGCATATATATAGCTAATTTGTGCCTGCTGAGACGCCTCCTCTGGTAAGGTTCACCTCCACGGAAGATGTGTTCATCTCATTGCAAGTGACTGGCCTCAGGCAGAGGCGAGAAACTTCAGAACTAAGGGTGTGAATCCACATGAGTTGGATTCAAGTAATTTGATTCACTTGGATCCCAGTCATGTGGATTCACATGTCCAAACTTTCAAGTGTTCAGAAGGCTTATTGAGCACTGTGTGTAAAAAGTGTCCTCAAGCCACAGCCAGGGGTCATTTATTAGACAAAGAGGCGCAGGAGCTCATTAGCATAACTCATTAGCATAACTCATTTGCCTGTGCCACACCCCCTGACATCACCGGAAGTGTGTCAGAAGGCAACACCCACCGCTCAGGCGCCACTGGACTCTTTTGGATTGCTAGCTATTGGGGGGGGTGCAGATCTGTCCTTGCAGAGGAGGGAGAGCTTGTACCTGAATAAGACTTGGTCTTAAAGGTGCCACTGGACTGTTTTGGACCAGGGAGCCGGGGGCTCTGCAGCTTACCAACGGCCATGGGACACTTCCCAGATGTTGTTCTCTGATCGCTCCCTTTAAATCCACCTGGCATTCGCGCCTGTGTTGGGTCTAATTGTATGTATGATCGCAGCCCTAGTAAACTCCTGTTGCTGGGCTGGCGTTTGAATCCAACTCTCTCCAGCCTATATTCAACACAGTATCCACTCTGCCACAGTCCCGCAGTGTGGTGCCTGTGAGTGTCATAGCACCTGTCGAAACCTTTCCTGGAGCCCACCAAGTGTTTTTTTTAGAAACCCGGGGAGGCCAGCTAGGGCTTTCACCCAGCAAGGCTTTTGATTGGCTGCTGGAGATTTGATGGGCGGTGAAGAGTTTTGAAAGTGTCGCTTTGGCAGCAGCTGCCACCACAGCGAAAGAGTCTTCACTGTGTGACTGAAGGTAACCTGCGGCAGACATTTGGTGGCTGCCTCTGCCTTCTGTGGCAGCCATTTCGTGGCAGCCATTTTGTGACTGCACCCACCACACTGAGTCAGGAATCTAACAAAGTTTGGGGACCCTGCACTATGCCATGTGAACTCTCGCCATACCAGCCTTTATGACTCTCCTGTAAAACGCACATGTTATAATCCCTGCACTGCAGATGGGAAACAGAGCCTGTGAGGTTTAGAAATCCATCTCGGTCCATTGATGGCTTCCCGACGAGTCCAGCAAGCCACATCAACGTCTGCTTACCCAACCGAGTTGCAGAAGTTCGGCAGTGAACAGTACATAAAAATGCACAGGTGAAGCTGTGTCTCACAGCTGTTCCATCCAGAGGTCATTTCGGGGGGGATCGCGGGGGATCGCAGTTCCCCCGGGTGAGGTAAGGGGGCGGGG